ACGTGCCACAGGTGGCACACAGAGCCCTCTCTGTGGGCATGCGTGCCCTCGCCCCAGTCCTAGGCCTTCAGCTGGGTTTTATAAAAACGTTTCACTTTAGGCCTCCGCCGCTGTGTGCAAAAAAAAAAAGGTTCAATCAATCAATTTCAAAGTTGGAATTGAATGATTGAACTTTTTAATCCCACCCAGTCTGCCGTTACCACTGCAGCCACGCCCACCCAATGGGCCACACCCACTCAATGGGCCACACCCACCCAGCACCTGATGATACATAAGTGGGTTTTGGGTTTCAGTTTGGGCACTCGGTCTCTAAAAGATTCGCCATCACTGCCTTAAGGGGTTCTTGAGGGCAGGTACAAAATAATTCCTGAACTAAGGCTGCGTCCTTATGGAGAATGGTCCATAAAAACCATAGTCCATGTTCTATTAACTATATTATGTTTTTTCTAAGGATACAAGGGTCCATCTTATCATTACCCTTTTGATGAAATGTCCAGGCAATTCTGATATATTTTATATGCAGTTTTTACCAGACCAGTATGATTCCATTTCTGTGAATGTGGTCAAATTTTGTTACACTTCAGTACAACCAGACATTCCTTGATTTCATCCATGATCTAGATATAAACTTTTATTTTGTTTCATCTGATTGTTATATTCTGATGAGTGACCATATGAAAAGTATGTATGTATGTATGTATCTTCCTTTTTAATGCATCAATGTGAGTATCCCCATATCCATCCTTTTTAATACATCAATTTAATATTTGGGTTAGGGATAGATTGTCATGGAGAAAAGCTATGTGGTTGCTAGGAGTCAAAAATATCTTGATGGCACATATTAGATTAGCATTGGAAATGTGCAAAGAATAAAGAACAGTTCTGTTGAATTCTGCCCTGTTCAAACTTTTCAAGGAAAAATATGATTTGGCAAGGAGTGTGTGGATATTGCTGATCTTTTAACTGGTTTTATGATCATTTTTAAGAATTTTGTATGCAGTTAGTTGATTATAAGCTGCTCTTTTATATATTGTAACACAGTGTTTTTTATTTGTACATTTCAAAGTGATGCTTAGAGAGCCAGATTGGTGTAGAGGTTTTAAGGCATCAGGCTAGAAACTAGGAGACTGTGAGTTCTAGTCTGCCCTAAGCACAAAGCCAGCTGGGAGACCTTGGGCCAATCACTTTCTCTCAGCCCTAGGAAGGAGGTAATGGCAAGCTACTTCTGAAATCTTACTGCAGGAAAGACTTATCTAGGCAGCCTTGGACATGATTGAACACAAGAAAAAAAGTGATGCTTAGAAATATGCTGTGTCTGAAGTTCAGTTTATTTCACAATTGATGGGTGGTGGGTTGTTCTATTATGTTTATAACTTTTCCAGTTGAACAGATAGTAGAATCTGTTTAGCTTCTGAGCATCGTTCTCTGTCGTGTTTTGCATAACATGCCTAAATGCATTCGGTTGTACAGAACCAGGATAGAAGAAGGCTCATGCTTAACCTGCAAAGCCCAAGTTTTCTAAATTAACCATTGTAATGAATAACACTACAATAACACTACAACAATCCATTAATCTGTAATCTATTAATCTGTAATCCTAGAAAGATGGGTTGTAGGGAATTTGGATAATTGATTTGCCTTACATCTTGAATTCTGTTTATGAGAATAATTTCCATATTATAGCATGGTGAAACAGACTTGAGATCATTCTTAAATTGTAGTATAACCTCATTTTTTCCACAGCAGTAGTATAAATAGGGAGAAAAAAAGCCTTAAATATGAATATGTGAAAAAATCCAAAGTGATAGATATGTACTGGACTACTTTTTAGATTTCTAAAGACTAGCATAAAGTCACTAAAATATATTCCATGTTGTTTTTTGATTGCAGAATTTCCTCTGCACGCCCTGAAGCCAGTTTAAATAGTTCCAAGTTCATATAAGTTAAACATTTACTTGTACGGACACTTAAAGGTTAACGTCAGTGACTTTGCTGAGTTTAAGGTCTTGCTGTTTCTGGAGTATGTTAGTGGTTACAGAAAGTATGTTTAGTAACAGAGAAGGAATACGAGGGAGCACAGATTTAGAATGTTTTTCTTAGGGCAGGAAAGAAGATGTTATTTGCTTGAGCAATTCATGAGCTCCCCTTTCTCTATAAGACAATAAGATGATAATGAGGTTTTCAAGTTGTGTTTTGTGAAAGATTAGCATATAGCAGTGGTGGCACTCGGAGCCCTCTCTGTGGGCACGCACACTGTCGCCCCAGCCCCGTCTCCCCCCATGGCCCCCTCACCAGCAGCCCCCCTGGAGGAGAGTCGCCCTCGTGCCTCATAGCGTGCAGATGCTGCTGCGGGGTGTGGGCGGAGGGCATGGCTGCTATGGCGCTTCAGGGCTGCCAGGGCGATCTGCTGCGGCGGGCCATGGAGGCGGTGCGTGGTCCTGCGGGTGGGTGGGGCAGGGGGCAGGCAGGGGCAGAGCAGGCAGGAGGGGAGGAGGAATGGGGGCAGGGGGTGGTTTTGGGGCACTTAGTCTCTAAAAGGTTCGCCATCACTAGCATATAGGAAATGGAAAATGAGGAAAATTATTACTGTTCATCATTTCATGTAAATTGTGCTGCACTTCAATGGTTAGATGGCCTAGACTGGGGTCCCCAACCCCTGGTTTCTGAACCGGCACCGGGGCTGTGGCATGCCAGAAACTGGGCCGTGCAAAAAAGTTAAGCCCAATCCGTGGGATGCAGGCAGCATGTGAATCCACGCTCCCTCCGGTCTGCGGAAAAACCTCTCTCCTCATAATCGGTCCCTGGTGTCCAAAAGGTTGGAGGCTGCTGGCTTAGACATTGGTAGTTGAATATAGATCTTTTTAACATTTATATTTTATTGTGTTCTACTAATCTAGATGAAATGTTAATATATATATTGCTAGTCCATGTATGATATGCCATACGCTAAATAATAATAAATGACTGTTCTTTTCTTTGACAAAGTACCTACTTTATGCTAGGAAAGCATAAAGCATGGCTTACATGCTAATTCCAAGGTTATATTTACATTTTGTTAAGTTCAGTATATGTTAAAAATTAAACTTACACAGGCAGTAAGAAATGCCATTAAGTTCAGGGAAATGTGCTTTCAAGAATTTATGTGTGAGATTATTATGCACATTTCCTGCTCTTTGCTGAAGCATCACACTAAATTGCCTGACTCCTTCTGTCAGTGGAAGCAGCTAAATACACATGCAGCTTTCCAGCTTTATAGTTTGCCTTATCTTTATCATTTGCTTAATGTTTCTTTCAAATTGGAATCCATGGCTTCTTGATTTCCCAATAAGCCAGAATGGTAAAATTATAACTGAAATGGTGCAGTTAAAACTAAACAGTGATAGAGTGGGAAGGCATATTATTCAAAAGGAAACATGTAATGTAAACATGTAATGGATATTATTATGACAACCACTTTGCAAGTATGATTGTATTGGCTCTCCTTATAATCACTAAGTCCCAAAGTAAACCACAATAATTCATTAGCGCCCTATTTGATCTACCAATGTTTATTTAGAAGCCAAAATCATCCTGAGTTGTGGAATACTTCCAAACCAAGCTGCATGGCCATAAACAACTTTAAGAGCCTATTAAGTAGTTGATCTGGAAAATGTCCAATGTAATTGAACAGTCTGTAAATGTAAAAGGAGAGGAAGGAAATGAATTAGCTATAGGAGCCAAAAAGCAAAGATTTTAGCTGTGAAAGGAAAGAGGAACAAGATATCTGTCACCCATAAATACCGAATTCAAAAAAAGAGCTAATTTGAGGAATGCTTATTTTGAGCAAGAATACAGTTTGATTTTGGTTTTGCGAGAGGATATTTTTTGGCCTGTATTTCTTTAACTTTTACTGAATGTGCTCATCCGTAGTGTGATAGCAGCCTTCAGGTGTAGTCCTATAATAACACTTGATTCTCTGGGGAAAATGTATATATATTTTTTGCTCATTTTTCCACCAATAAAAGATGAACGTTGAGTGAGAGCAAAACAAAACAAAACAAAGCTATAACACAATTGCATGCACGATCCCACTTCCTTAAGATTTTTCTGTTCATTTTTGCTTCCACAGAAATTGGCATACTGGCTAAGTCATATATTGAAAAAGGGCAACTGATTCCCGATGACATCATGACTCAGCTGATGCTGAGCGAGCTGAAAACGCTAGATCAGAAGCACCTGCTGCTGGATGGTGAGAACTTGTATTGTACCTTTTCTCAATGAAGGGTAGTTTCCAGCTAGTGAATCCTATATGTTAAGCATAGAAGGTTGGTTGACGATAAGGTATAGAACAGTTAGATTGTTTGTTAACAAGGAGTTTCTGATAGCTTTTAGGGGCCCTGACATAACCGGAAGTGAGCTTCTCTTCATGAAGTTGGGCTGTAGAGATCAGGTGGGACAGCAGCTGTTGGCTTATCTTCCTCTTTGCAGTATTTATTTATTTGGAAATTTTATGTTGCCGACTACTCGCTCACGGGGACTCAAGGCAGCTTACAGGACTAAGAAGAGCAACAAACATGATTAGGGGACTGGAGGCTAAAACGTATGAAGAACGGTTACAGGAATTGGGTATGTCTAGTCTTATGAAAAGACCGAATTCTAGACCTCCCTTAGCTGCATGGGGAAGTTTAATTTTGGTATCAGGTCTTTTGGGTGGCAATATTTTCTTTTATTGTTCATTTTTACTTTTGGGTGGTGAGCTGCTCAGAGTAAAGTGGGCAGCCATATAAATGTTTTAAACCAAACCTTGCATTACATGGAATAGATCTCCAGGCCTTTGATCCTGTGTCTAGAATCTTTTCTGGGTGTCCCTGGGTTTAGGAGCATGAAGCAGACACAAACAAAGGGCAAAGAGCAGACAGGAAGGTCCAGAAGCTTTCTAAATGACCTAAACTTTCAGTAAACTATAGGTATGAAAATAATAAAGATTAAGGATATAGGAAGAGACATACTGACATCATCAATGTGTTCCTTAGTGTGGCATTCTGTGACAAACCAGTAGGGAAAAGCACTTATAGTATATAATACCACCAACTGTCACTGGGTTAAAGTTGGCTTTCCCGTAATTAGGAAGACTTCTGGTTACATGGCCTTTAACTGTCACAATTTCTTAGAGAGTAATGGTTATTACTGAGAATTCTGCAATGCTTGGCAAAACGGTCTGTGTAAGATAAGGTGGCTCAGATTATGATAGTTTTGAAAGATGAAAAAAAGCACTTTCAGTTGAAATCTGAACCATAGGCTTAGCATAATGAATACTGGGTAAATATGCACACGCTCTCCCCCACACCAAGGACAAGGTGGATTTTCAGATCTGGTTAGATGTGACGATGGTTTGATTGCATTTCAGTTGAAATGTCATTGAATATTTCTCAATTTTAGTGTTACATAGAAATAGAAACTATCAGGATACTGCATTTTAAATGAAATGATGCAGTGCTACATGGGAATATTCCAAAATATACCTATTTTTGGAACTTGGGTACAAATGTTTCCAATTAATAAACAGGCCAAGCCATATTCAAGTAAGAGAAAAGCAAAGGTATGTTAGCCATAAAGCAGCGACCCCCAACCTTCTGGGCACCAGGGACCGATTCTGAGGAAAGAGGTTTTTCCGTGGACTGGAGGGGCGTGGTTTCGCATGCTGCCTACATCCCGCAGATTGGGCTTCACTTGTTTGCATGATCCTGTTTCTGGCATGCCACGGCCCGGGTGTTGGGGACCTCTGCCAGAAACATTGGCAGATATGTTAGTCTGGTGTGCCTTGCCCAAATACAACCTGAGCCAGAAATGTAGACTAATTTTTTTTTCTTTATTTATCTACACAAACGAAGAGGACACGCCACCCATTTGAAGAGCCCCTTAGAAAGATGGAGAATCAATAAAGGAGAATATTTGCCACTCAGGGTTGAAATGAGGGGTCCTTGGTGCTCTCCAAGTTTGGTTGTTTTCTTGCAGGTGTTTCATTACCCAAACTAGGTAACATCATCAGATGATTCATTTGGGTAATGAAAAGTCAACACGAAAACAACCAAGCTCAGAGAGCACCAAGAACCCCTCATGTGGAGAAGCACTTTAACTTTAATCACTTCAATCATATAGGGTTTGGAGTGAGTTCTTTGGTTGATTAATATCATTTGACATATCTCAGAGGTTCTAGCACGTAGCATGAAACATCCCATAATTTCTTAATATGATCTTGTTAATGCTTATCTACATATTCAGGAGGCCTAACGTTATAACAAGTTTGCAAGTTACTAAAGTTCAAGTCTACGTACCAGAAAAGAGAATCCTTGTCCTTGGCAAGTTTGAACCAGTTCTCTTATCAGGTTGTATTTGCAGAGGTTTCTTTATTCCTTCAAGAACTAGCAACATTAATCAAAGAAACATTCAAGAACTAAAAACATTTTATTAAAGACTAAACATTAAAGAGCTAAAAACAAAGAAGTAGAAACATTCATCAAAGACAGCCAGTTTAGTCTAGTGCAGGGGTAGGCAACCTTGGCTCTTTTATGACTCGTGGACTTCAACTCCCAGAATTCCTGAGCCAGCCATGCTGGCTCAGGAATTCTGGGAGTTGAAGTCCAGGAATCATAAAAGAGCCAAGGTTGCCTACCCCTGGTCTAGTGTTAAGGCACAAGGTTTGAAGGCAGGAGACTGTGAGTTCAAGTGCCATCAAAGCCAGCTGGGTGACTTTGGGCCAGTCACTCTCTCTCGACCCAACCCACCTCACAGGGTTATTGTTGTTGTGAGGTAAATAGGTGTATTGAATATCTTCATTGCCTTGAGTTGTTTATAAAAATAATAAAGGTAGGATACAAAAACAAACAAACAAAATCTAGTTACTGAAAACATTAATCAAAGAACTCCCCCCCCCCCAGCTGCTGCTATCAGCCTGACAGGGCCCCATCTTAATGACAGCTTATTTCTGTACCTTTAGCTATCTGCAGTGGCATTTTGTTTTTCCATAGGCTTCCCCAGGACTGTCCCACAGGCTGAATCACTGGATAAGGTGTGGCCAATTGACACCGTGATTGTTTTAGACGTTCCTTTTGAGACCATCAAGCAACGTTTGACTGCACGCTGGATTCATCCTGCTAGTGGCAGGGTGTACAATCTTGAATTCAACCCTCCCAGAGTCTCTGTAAGTTTTGTCTATATATAGTGCAGCCATGCAAAAACAAATATTGAAAGCTATCTGCTGATCAAACCATCAGTGTTCACCAACTTGCACATCATATCCCATAGTTTCCAGCCAGCTGCTGAGTTGGGCAAATGTGTGCTAAATGTTGGCTGATTCTATCTGTTGCTAACCCCTGAAAAAAGTCCATTATGATTGTAATCAAAATAGAGTTGTGTTGTCTTTAAATAATTCCGTGAGCTAGGCTGGGATTAGAGTTAGAGTTGCTTCTCTTCTGTTGTGATGAGTAAACTATTAATCATAGCTGGCATGATTTAACAATATTCGGACAATATGCGTTGCTTCTTTATGTTTAGTTTGAAAATTGCTCACCTTTTGTAATCATCACAATGTAGGGACATAAATTGGAACTTTTCACTTCCAGAAACTGTATACTATTGGTAATTAAAAAGGAAATAGAAGTATCAGCCTGCTGGGTCGAGAACCTTAGGCCTCAGACCTAAAAATAAAAATCATTTTTAAATGGCTGAATGAACTAGCATGAGATTTCAGCTATTATTTTTTAAAATATTCATTTGGGGATTTTATGGAGAACAACTTAAAATTTTGCAGATGTTACAAGGCAATTTACCTTACGATATGTCAGTAATACCTCCATAACTTGTTCAGTTCATAACTTGATTTTTTTTTACCAACTTACAGTTTTGTTTCTATATTCTTATACATACAATAATAGTGTTTTGTAGAAATCAGCAGTGATCAAACTTCGTAATAATAGTAACAATGTTAGCATGCATTAAGAAAGATTGGACATATCTTTTTGAAAGATCGTGTCATACAATACAGCCTTTTCGTTGCCATAGAAACCATCCTTCTCTCCTGCCCAATATTTTAAAACTGTCCCTTAATTGCTCAAGAGATTTCTTGGACTATTGCACGGAAGCTGAATATTTATTAAATATAAAGAATATTGCCTGTTAGACGATGTGCTAACTTCCGTGATAAAAATGTAGGCAGGAGTAGCAGCTTATGGCACAATTCAAAAACCAGACAGCGGGCAGATTCCATAGAAGAAAACTCATAGGTGTATAAACTGCTATTGTTCATAGTAGGGAGCTCTCCTTTTACCATAAACAGGGTCGTGATGATCACACAGGGGAGCCTCTTGTTCAGCGTGATGACGATAAACCGGAAACGATTATGAAGAGATTGAAATCTTATGAAGCAGAAACCAAACCTGTCCTGGAGTATTACCGGTAAGCACATTTCAGTGTGCAATATTTAGTCTAACACTTTCTCTTTAACATCTCTGCCACAACTTAGGGATGTTTCAGATGTGCTATGCAAACAGTGAGAAAAGAACCCTATGCATGGATATTTGTCTTCCAATTCATGGGGTGGTCTAGGACAGGGGTCCCCAACCCCGAGGCCCACTACTAGGCGTATTTGCAACCAGGCCATGCGAGTGGCAGGCTGGCACATACACACATACACATGCAGCTTGACTTGCATGAGCAGCGGGCCGGCATGCATGCACATGTGTGTACACCTCAACATGCGCAGGTTGAGCTGCGCGCACATGCATGTGTGCGTCAGTCCGCTGCTTGTGCAAGTGAGCTGCATGTGCGCATGTGTACCAGCCCATCGCTCACATGACCTGCTTGCTCAAATGGAGCTTCCCGTGTGAACGCCCTCTGCTTGCGCAAATGGAACTGCGCATGCTCACTCACTGCTTGAGCGTCCTGGTTTCAAACGGGTTGTGCCCGGGGGATGGGGTTCCCTGCTTTAGAGTCAAATCAACTCTGTCATGGAATCACTTGGATTTGTGCACCACCAAAACAATATTGCATGAACATTGTCCTCTGGCAACAGGGCAACAAACAGGACTTGGCCAATGGTTACAGTAACTTCTGTCATTTCCTAACCAGCCCCTGCAAGACAATTGCTGCTGAGAAATGGTTTATTGGTTCATCTACTGCTCGCTGAGACAATATCTACAGTTATGACTTTATCCTGTGTCTTTATCTTCCCAGAAGTTGCTGGTTGCTCCATCAGCAGGGCTGTTTTCAATTGTGGTTATTATTTTACTGATGATTAAAGTTATACTTTGTCTTTCTGTTTGGATAAACAGTCAAAATGGTTTGCAGCCATTAAAATATGTCTTAGAAAACACAGTCATAAAATTGCTGGAAGTAAAATAAGAGTTAAGTGCTACAATGGTATAATTAAAGTTTGCAAAAGAGATGCATTTTGGCTGTTTTCCTAAACCTTGGGAGAGAAGACTAAACATGGCTCTTAGGGAGGGAATGCACTCCGTGATCTGGAAGCTGCACAAGAGAAGGGCCTCTCCCACATGCCAGATAGTCGAGTTTCTGACTGCAAGGCCTTCTTCAAATCTCTGTCTCCTGTTAAGCCAAATAATGTGCTCTAAGTATAGACTTCAGGCACAGAATAAGAATTGATACAAGTTACCCGTGGTGTGTTTCCCCAAAACTAAGACCGGATCTTATATTAATTTTTGCTCCAAAAGATGTATTAGGGCTTATTTTCCGGGAAAATAAGAGCTTATATTCAGGGAAATACAGTACTAAATGTGTCCATCTGGCTGACAATCTTAACTGGGGCTTATTTTTGGGGTGGGACTTATATTACGAGCATCCTGAAAAATCATGCTAGGGCTTATTTTCCGGTTGGGTCTTATTTTTGGGGAAACACGGTATATTAAGAAAGCAATATAACTTGACAGGTCCACTATGAACGAAACAGTAGGCTTGAAAGAAGAGAAGGCCAAAAGAAAAGATGGAAACAGCTTGTAAAGCTGAAGGAGGTTTTAAAGCTACTTAATAAAAGAGTGCAAAAGCAAGTAAGGTAGTCCTCGACTTACAACAATTTGTTTAGTGACCATTTGAAGAGACAGTGGCACTGAAAAAGTAACTTACGACTGTTTTTCACACCTACAACTGCAGCAGCATCTCCAAGGTCACTTGATCAAAATTCGGATGCTTGGCAACTGACTCATATTTATGACGGTTGCAGCATCCTGGGGTCATGCAACCACCTTTTGCGACCTTCTTTACAAGCAAAGTCAACGAGGAAGCCAGATTCACTTAACAACCACGTTACTAAATACTGTTAGCAGTATTCCAGTATTTGAGGGGCTGCCACAGAGGAGAGAGTGTCAACTTATTTTCCAAAGCACTGGAAGGCAGGACAAGAAACAATGGATGGAAACTAATCAAGAAGAGAAGCAACCAGTAAATAAAGAGGAATTTCCTGATAGTGAAGTCAATTAACCAGTGGAATGATTTGCCTCCAGAAGTTGTGGGTGCTTCATCACGGGAGGTCTTTAAGAAAAGACTGGACAGCCACCTTCTGAAATGGTGAAAAAAGTAAGGTTCTACTTTTAGGCAAGAAAAACCAAATGCACAGATATAGTATAGGGGGTATTTTGCTCAATAGTAGTAACTGTTGAGAGGGACCTCGGAGTCCTAGTGGACAATCACCTAAATATGAGCCAGCAATGTGCTGCAGCTGCCAAAAAGGCCGACACAGCACTAGGCTGCATTAACAGAGGGATAGAATCAAGATCACATGAAGTGTTAATACCACTTTACAATGCCTTGGTAAGGCCACACTTGGAATACTGCATCCAGTTCTGGTCACCGCGATGTAAAAAAGATGTTGAGACTCTAGAAAGAGTACAGAGAAGAGCAACAAAGATGATTAGGAGACTGGAGGCTAAAGCATATAAGGAATGGCTGCTGGAATTGGGAATGTCTACTTTAATGAAGAGAAGGACGAGGGGGGACATGATAGCAGTGTTCCAATATCTCAGGGGCTGCCACAAAGAAGAGGGAGTCAAGCTATTTTTCAAAGCGCCTGAAGGCAGGACAAGAAGCAACGGACAAGAAGAAACTTCCTGACAGTCAGAACAATTAACCAGTGGAACAACCTGCCTCCAGAAGCGGTGAATGCTCCAACACTGGAGGTTTTTAAGAAGAGACTGGACAGCCATTTGTCCGAAATGGTATAGGGTTTCCTGCCTGAGAAGGGGGTTGGACTAGATGACCTCCAAGGTCCTTTCCAACTTTACTATTATTATTATTATTATAAATGGTGTAGGGTCTCCTGCTTGAGCAGGGGGCTGGACTAGAAGATCTCCAAGCTCCCTTCCAGCTCTATTCTGATTAACTATAGTGATTCACTTAACAACTGTGGCAAGAAAGGGTGTCAAATGGGGCAGAAGTCGCTTAACAAATGTCTCACTTAGCAACAGAAATTTTGGGCTCAGCTGTCATAAGTCGAGGACTATCTGTATGCATTTTGTAAAAGTTTGCATACATGGAATAATATGCAAATCTTTAGAACACAGTATGCAAACTTTTAGTATGCCAACCTCTAGAACATAGAATCTTAAAAAAAATAATTGTCCAATTGATCTCCTATACTAGACTCTCAGAATCTAAGAATTGAGAGAAAAACTGTTAATGTGCAAAAATAACTAATGTACTCTTGTCTTCTCTCTAGTCAAAAAGGAGTGCTGGAATCTTTTTCTGGAACAGAGACCAACAAAATCTGGCCTCATGTTTATCGTTTCCTCCAAACGAAGCTGCCTGAAGTGAATCAGACGGGTTGAACATGATTCGTTTTACTAATATACGGAAACTACTAATATATGGCTAAATATCCAGTTTCTAGCAATCTTTGGAATCATAAAAAATTAGGAACGGACTGGGATTTTAGTGATGGAATTATGAGCCACCCTGATATATAGCTGTCTGAAATCTCTAAAATGACCATGTTTTAATTCTGTGCCAAAATCTAGTAGGATGATCGATTGCTAATTTTTTGTACTGGGTATATCTGGATTTTGTAAAATGTATTTAATAATAAACTGATTTTTAGCAACATTTAGTTAAAGTATCCATGGAGTTTGATAAGGATAGTAATTTGAAGTATCAGTCCCATTTTGAGAATTTACACAAGACCCTTTAAACAGGATGTAGGTAAGATCATAATAAAAAGAATGAGGTAGTCTGTTTTGTACTCTATGGGGCATGAGGCTTCTATAAAAGAACAGCAATCTTGAATATATCAGTTTACTATTTTGGAAACTTCCCTAAAACATCTGTATTAAGAATTCAGACTGAAAAATCTGTGTAGAACATTTTGTTTCAAGCTTCTAGACTACCTTTGTCAATATTTACCACAATGTTCCAATGCTTTGAGTTAGTACAGCTGACGGATCTTGTGGCTAGCAGTCCTGAAAGTGAACTTCGTACCATCTTGGTGTTTATATCAAGGGTGGACATGTTTTTTCCTGCCTAGGCATTTAGAATTTATCATTAAATCAATGAGGGGTTTTTTTACGTTGAAAGCAGTAGTGTAGGAAGGTGCCTCTTTTTCCAGAGTTTCAGGACGGCATTAGTAATTTAAGATTACAGCATCCATTTTGCTTCTTCAAATGTACTATAATATTTGCTGTATCACAAACGCTTAGCTTCCTAATCTTATAGGATAGCATCCCATTAGCTTGGAAAAAAAAGGAAGGCAAAGAATTCTATTCAACCAATAACAGTTAAAACATCATAATGCACAACTATAAAAACACAAAAATAATCAGCAGCAACAAATGAAGGTGACCATTGCATGGGCTCTGCTATACCTCCAGATCCTCAATGAAAAAACCCCATGACTTTAAGGTCTTATGAAAGGGTCAGGGGGATATCTAAAAGGGGGTACCATGGCAGCAAAGGTCGCCTTCTTGGTTCTGCCAAATGGCATTTTGAAATAGGCCCTGGAGCTTATCTCTTTTGCTGGAGGTAATGAATTGAACCCAGAAACATACTACCTTGTGGAGCAGAGGTGTAATTAGCTTGTGGAGCAGAGGTGTAATGGGCTGATAGAGGAGAGCATATAATTGCCTGCTTGTAATGGGCAGAAGGAATAACCTTGAGGAACAGGAGGAAGGGCTGCAACTAAGATATTGGTCAGATGAAAGAAACCTTGAATCCTTAGCAGAAATGTAATTTGTGAAACTGTCTTTGACATGACCCTCCCTAGTTCTCATGAAGTTAAAGGAAGGGAGAAGGGAGGTATATTCAAGCTTGCAAAATTCTTCTACTATAACCTTACAATACAAATAGTATTAGCATTCTTAACTGGTTTCCTAGCCTGGTCTACTTTGAAGGGCTGACAACACATCTCTGCATTCTGTATCCCCTATAGATTTGGGATCAAGGCATAAAGTACATTATGTGTTCAAAAGATGACCAAGGCAGGAGTGATCATGAGCAGAGCCTCCAAATCCAGGAACGGGCAAAATTGGCACAAACAAAAAGTTGCACAAAGGAGTTCTTAGCCATAGCTACTACCAGTTCCTCAAAGAGAAACCATGAGTCCAGGGGGGATTGGCACAAATTTTGTTTGGGGTAGCGCAACCCCACCCAGAGCAAATCCCTAGAACTAGAAAGCCTTAATACTCATAACAATTCAGTCTTGTTATGGTTGAATGTTTCCCATTCAAACCTCACAATTTTGAGACAAAAATTGAACTCCCACATCATTTGGACAGGCAAGGATGGTTAAACTGTCTATCATCAGCATATTATACTGATACCTCACCTATGCTGTGGGATGACCTCACCAATGGATTCATGCAGATGCTAAACGGGAGTGGAGACATATAAACCTGGAACAATGCACAGCATGGGACTAGGGACTCCTCACTTAGAACTGGTTCCAGAGGAAGGAAGAGAATCAGCACTCTTATACTTGAATCTGCAACTGAACCCAGAATTGTAACCAATGGGTAATTTTAAAAAAATCTACAGAAAAGTCCCCGTCCCCCCCCCCCAAATTTGATACTCTTCAAAATGATCCAAAGTTAGACTCTATTAGGCCTATTTTCCTCAAACTAGAGGAAATACTTCTAAATATTTGCAACTTGCATTTCCACTGTGTTTTGGGATACAAGACAAAGTTGAACTTCTTGTTCTTTGTTTTAGCAAACACATCGGGCTTGAAAAAAATTGAGTTGGCTGATGTGATACACAGAGCTTCAGCTATGTCAGAATTACCACACAGAAAAAGAATTTCTAAGCCATTATCAGTTATGTCTCGGTCTTTTGCAAAGGATGCCTTAAATCCATTTGTTCACTGATCTAACAAGGATGTGAATGCAAGAAGAGGACAGTATTGAAAAACTAGGAAGAAATGGGATTTGGGGATGGGGTGAGGAGAGAGGTAAGGGCATATGGAAAACTACAGAGCCTGGTAAAGGAGTTAGATGGAAGTGAGGACAACAGGGAAGATAGTCAGAATACTAATTCCTTTCCTTCCTCCATCATTTTTCTTCACCATTTCTAAGTTGCTTGTCCCATATTTCTGAAAGGACATGTTCATGGCAATATTTTCCTGCTTTGGAAGGCAGCCACCAGGCCAGGATTGGGCAACTGAAGAGCCAAGTGTAATCCTTCAAGCCATCTCTTACCACTCTTTCTGAAAACTGGTTGCAGTTTTATGAACATTGCAGATAGGAAACATGAATTAACGTACTGTACAACAATATTCAGCATTAACGTAGAATATGTTTGACCTGATTTAAAGAAAAAGAAAACCATCCAACTTTTAAAAACTCAAAGGAAAAAAATATCCAGAAAATTCCAATGATTTTGGGATTTACTGGATTCTCCTTCCCTCCAACAATCAGCCATCCCTTTGGCCAATTACCCAGAAAGTGTTAGGTACATTGCCTACCAGTGTAACAGACATGTCTGTAGATCATCTGGTTTTCATTTAACCAAAAGTAGAAGTCTTTAGCAGTTGGGAAAGGTCACAAGGTTTAAGGTAAATTACAAGATCAAACAACATGGGCCAGCCCCAACTGGCTTATAGCAGTTAAAGTGAAAGAGGAACCAATGCATTCCCATGCCAACTGTCCTTTCATGAGATGGTTCTACACCACATATTCCTGAACAGAAATGTGCTTCCTTTATTACAGGGGTGTCAAACTTGCAACATCACATGAAGTGTCCCGACTTTTTCCCCATTGCCGGAGCTGGGGTGGGTGCGGTTTTGGCATGATGCATCTGGCCCGTGGGCCGGCAGTTTGACACCCCTGCTTTATTAGAATCATGATTCTGGATAAAATCTCAAGTCATGATTAAATCAAACACACTACAGCAAAAGTACAGTTATTTTATTAATAATAGCTTATATTTTCATTCCAAACTTCGTAAGGGGCAATCTTCGTTTACAATATATTTCAGACCATGAAGCAAAATTTGCCACGTTGCCCTCTTCTTAAGGCTTTAGAAAAGTGCTCTGCAGCAGTGGGGAGGGCCAGATGTATGGACTTCATCTCCCAGAATTCTCAGCAAGGACCAGCGGCTGGCTGGGTAATCACACAAGTTGGTCTGCACACTTGGTAGTTTCCAAGATTTGGAGTCACTGCTTTAGAACAACCTAGTGAAGTTACAAGGCAGTTCTCACTTTTCCCCTCAACCAAGTGCTTGAAATATACGGGGTGGCTACGGATCACTGAAAATGGTTTATTCTACAAATCAAAAACACAAACATAACTCGTATTTTAACAAATATAATCTTGCCTTTAATGAATACACCTTTTTAATAAGCAAGGGACTATGATGCCAGTATATTTGTTAGTTTTTGCTTTGATCAGTGTCACTGCTCATCCTCTTTCTGTGTTTAACTTTGAAAACAACAAAAAGTCAAAATCCTCATTTCACATAGGTAAAAAAGCCTTGCTTAAAACAGCCTCTGTTACTCTAAATGCCAGTCGAACGGAGGGCTCAATTCAGAATACAGGCCTGACTTCATCTGTCTCAAAACAGAACAAAGCTGCTCATAGGCTTTAGTTTCAGAATCTTTGGATTATACAACAGCTGTTAAAAACATACTAATGAAATGATCAACAACAAAACAAACATGATTGTGGGGGAAAAAGTGTTAGGAGGAGGAGAAGGTGAATACAGACCCAGAAAAAAAAAGGCATGGAAAAAAAAAATCACAGGCGAAACGAAGTTGTCAGATAAAACACAATTCTTAACTTATATCCATTTAATTCTTCCTTTAGTTATGCCCAGAACAATCCAGAGATGATTATTTCCCAACCCATTTGGCAAGCCAGCTAACACTTTTTAGTGTCCAGGTTTTGTACTTATTTTTTGTCTTCAAAAACTGAAATGTCTACACTCCTTGTCTTAATCAGATTGCTAGAAAAATAGGTACAAGGCCAGACTAGACAAGCACGGCTATACTCAGTGGATGGCTGGTCTGAATGTTTACACGAAACGAAGCCAACTTCTGCCAGATTACTCTCTTGGCTTTAAGAATTTATTTTCAGCTCAATTACCATCTTAGAAATAAGCTGAGTTCAGAACATTCTTTCTAACAACAGAGCATTAGCTAGAATCTCAGTGTTTCTCAACCTTGACAATTTTAAGGCATGTGGACGTCAACTCCCAGAATTCCACAGCCAGCATTGCTGGCTGTGGAATTCTGGGAGTTGACGTCCACATGCCTTAAAATTGTCAAGGTTGAGAAACACTGAGCTAGATGAAGTGGAATAGTGCTTTCTCATGTACGCTCAACACTTCATGAAAAAAGAGTTCTACTGACTTTATTATTCTTGTTGCTACCTTGTTCTTATCAAATTTGGTCTCATATTTGCCACTGATTCTGCAGCGTTAGGTTAAAGCCACAATAGCAGTACAGGTAGCTAAAGCCATTTCACAAACTTGTTGCTGATTTACTGTGCTTGGGTTGGTCTGGAAGCTGCTGATCTGAAATTCTAAACAATGCAACTCAACCTATCCAGAAGGAACCAGGTGGAGAAGTCTTTTCTATTGCTTTTATTAAAACTGTTTTTTTTAAAATGTAACTATATCAGCCCACTTGCATCTAAATTATAATTCCATTGGAAATTTCAGGAGGCTGCTTTTGCAAATCTTGAAACACTCTATGTTTGCGTTAAGATGATTTAAGGGGGAATTCACACAGAACCCCACCACTTTCATACTCCACTGAAGTGTGGTTTATTTTTGGAAAGAGATACTGATTAGTTTTGTTTCACCATCCCTAATTTTGTTCTATTTGAGTTTAAAGAGTGATAGTTCTGTTGTTTTTCTGCTTAAATCACCAGGGGTTTTTTTCCTGCTTGCTCCAAATCACTTTGCCTACAGATTAATATTCCGAAGAGCACACCTAACTGAAAAGAAATCCAGTTTTTACCCCCAACCATGTTTTTCTGTTTTCACAGAGCTGAAGACATGACCATGCAAAAGTACCTAGAAATACAGAAAGAGAGGCCACAAATTTGAAAAGTGTAAAAGGTGATCTCTAAGAAGGTATATTACAATGTTACAATGTAAGCATTTAAAAACACTGGCTGAACTCAAAAGAAATGATGCTTCAATACAATTCTCCACTTCTGAGACTTATTTCCTCCATTCTGTTATTTTGTGAGTATAATTAACCATCATTTCTCACTCAGTTACAAATCAGAATCACACATTATTGTCTCAACCCAAAAAGATCTGATTAAATTGCAATATATATTTTCTGCATAAATTAAGGTCTTAAATGGGATTTTCAGAATTAGTTTCTTGCAAATAAGATTCTCTATGCTATATAATTAGTATCATCAAGGCCTATCTGATCTTGTCATCTGAACCAATTTGTTAAGTTCAGACTTCATCATAATTAAAATAATAACCAAGACCCAAGTAACACATCACTGGTTGCTAGTTAGCCAATTCTAGCATGGCTATTCCCTTGCTACACTTAAAAAAAATATCCATGGTTCCAGGGAATTGCTGATGCATAAAAAATATCTTCTCAATCAATCACTGAATATTAGTTTTAAAAACAGTGTCTCATTTTGACCTCCCTTTCTGGATTAATTTTCAGAAATGTGAAATAACTAATCATGATTTACTCTTATGAACACCTCACTATTTGAAGCTATTCTGGGGAATATCCAGAATGATAGATCAGCCTCTACACTTATGGCATTTAAAGAAGGAATCAAACCCCAGGTCACAGTACTAAGTGAGACCTAGAGAGATTATGGTTTGCTTTAGTCAGAAAACTAGCATGAAATTCCATTCGATACAAAAAAAAAAATACATGACCCAAAAGGAACTTTGTCAATTCTGGGAAAATTGTGTGAATGAGTTGAGACTCAGTTATTTTTACCTCAGTAGCTCCCACTGTCAATGTTCTATTTAAAGGAGGGGATTTTAGGAGGGTAAAGAAAGCAACAAAGCTTGTCACTCTTATCTTGCATGTCAATATTGCTTCTTAGGGAATTTTTCATAGACAAGTATGCTTTTGGATAGAACCTACAAACCTTCCTTACTATAGAGCTGTGGTGTTTCAAGACTCATTGAATGCAATTATGTACTGACAGCATTTACAACAGTTGTATTTTAACATACATCAAAGGTGATGAATGCAGAAGCAGATGGACAGGATACTAGAAAAATGTTTTTCAGTATTTTGGAGTTTGTAAGCTATTTATAACAAAAAGGTTACCGAATCTGATCGACAATGATAACATGTCAGAACCAAGTCTGCACCAAAGTAATTTCATGGCTATTTGGGTTGTTTTGGTTTTAAAATAGTGCCTGTTTATTTCTTTTGAGGCATTTACCAAATAAAAGATTGTAAGCTCATGTTTGTAAGATCTGAGAAAAATAATAATAATCAGCATTTGGCACCTGATGAAACACTCAGCAGTGGCTGATGTTTATCATATTGTTCTCATTTAAGAAAAGTTAAACTTTCTGTGACATATGTGGATCTATCTGCAGAAATACTGGTTATAACTTCATTATGGCTGCTTACACATCAAAATATGTATGAATCAAAATAAAATACAGAAACAGTAAAAAAAACCAGTAGTATCAATGGTTAGTGCTTTTGTGAGAGCCATCCAGAGGCGCAACACTGATAGCAATCATAGATTTATTGCTATCTGTGATAAAATCAGATTTGAATGCCTAGTATGCAAGCAACAGAACACATTACAATGATCTTTAGTATCCACAGCAACTCTTGGGTAGTGTCTAATAAGATTAAAGCAGATTCCCGAAGGAATCAATTGTAAACATTGCAACTGTGCAGATTTCTCATACTTTGATTTCTAAAATTAAAAGGCAAGATTTTTAACAGTAGCAGAAAACGTAGTTTCACATTCGGCAAATTACAAGAACATCCCTTTCTTAAAAGTAAGAAACATAGGAAGAAAGATAGCAGCACATTTTTCCCCCCAAAGAAAATGATGCATGTTTCTGCCTTACTCTCTCTCCAAAAGCTCAAAACAAAACAACCCCCCCCCACTCCATCAAAATAAAGTGCAGTACCCATAAAAAGAAGTCTTAAGAAAATTGCCGTCTTCTTCTCTTGGAAAGAAGTATACTTGGCTTCAGTCTTAAGAGTACTATACTGTATCCATCATTTTAGGTTCTTCTTCCTCTCTGTGTACCACTAAACCCTGCAAACTGCAGCCTTGAAGCGATTCTGCATTCTGCAATAAAGAGCATAGACATGTCAGAAATCAATTTCTGAAAAACATTTAATTTTAATCTTTGCTTTGTGTTGCTGCAGCTTTGTATTTTTTTACACCATGGGTGGAACACGTGGACACTTCACTCAAGATTCATTGTCATAACATCTGAAACTCAACTGGGCTAAAGGCAGATAAGCTAATTTCCACAAGCAATGGAACACACACACAGATGGCTTCTGAAGGGTTCGACCCATGTGTTCAGTATTACAGCCTTTTGCAAAAACAAACTGGAAAAGGAGGAATAAATAAAAAATCTCAGAAAGAGAGGGCTATCACAGCATCATTCTCCTGCTCCCATTAGTTCTTCGTAAGGGAAAATATATTCAAAAGTTGGGCCGCATCCCACAAAGTGCTTCCGTGACTTCGTGAATCAAGTGTGAATTTCCTTCATGTATTACTGCTAAGCAAGTAACTGCTCTTTTTAAAAAATAAAACAATTATTTTAGCACAGGAACTGATTATGTAACAGGAACTGATATGACACCCCAAGAAACTCTGTCTGGGAATGCAGAGAGTCAGAGCAGTGATTACAGTGGCACGCACTAGACATACATTATGTGAGGAATTTCTCCACAAGCTGTTCTGGAAATAGTCATGTTCAATAATCAGGCACGTTAGCTGATGAAACACACACACTAGTGAAGAAAGCAGCTGGAGAGCTATAGCTTAAATGAATCATCCAATGAACAGAACTAACGAAAAAAATGCCCAGTTTGCTGTAACAGTTAGAATGGTTGGCTTCTTGCTATAATAAGCAACTTCGTAGAAGCCACACTTAAAAAATAGTGGAAAATACTGCATCAGGGAGACCAGAGATAGAAACATAGTGGATGCCAAGGCAGGATGATTTTGTAATAAATACATAAATAAATAAATAAATAAATAAATGTAAACATTAGCTTTTGTTCTTTTCATTCAAACTACTTGGTGAAATTATATATATTAATTACTTAACATTCAAACAAGTCTTAGCTTTCTACCATGGTCTATGAGAAGGAATATAGGGAAGTAATACGAAGAAGAAGATGGGAAGTAAAGATTTTTTTTCTTGACACGCCAATAGTAAAAACAATTAAACAAAAGCTACCTGAGGTGCAAGTCCACCTATACAATTCAGATCATTGTGAAATAAAGGATTCTGAACAGGCATAGCTTGACAATTCTGAGATCGTGAACAAATCCTCACTCTTGATTTGAATGCTTCCAGTTCATTTTTAAAAGCTTCCAAATAGCCTTCATCCCCTGTCTGTCAAACAAACACAAAAGCAATTCAATAACCCTACAATTTAACTTTCAATATTTTGTGCTAAAAAATAAGACACTGCAGCCAAGCAGACTGGAGTCTAACCATGGAATCTATATCATTCAGATAAGCGTGGATTTTCACATTTTTGTACTTTTGTTTTTGTTCAGTCTGTGCAGTTTTTTTTTTACTTTGGTTAATCATAATGGAGGATAATCACAGTGACAGATGTTCAAATCGTTATGAAAGTTATCCAGACAATGTAGTTTATAATATGAGCATTCTTCTTCCCCTCCGTGTCAATTATACTACAGTGCTCATAATTTTCAACAACATAGCAATTCTGGAGGATGTAAATGGAATAAATTGCCACACGAAAAAAACCACCATCTATACAATGAGTCCTTTCTTTCTCAATCTTAGGATATACCATTAGACTTGCAAACTATGTAGAATCTTTGTCATACCAAATCTGTTAGATATAAAAATATCTTAAAATACTGGACTGTGCTTAGCTATAATAGATAGAATTAACCTCTCTCAATATTTTTCTTTTAACTCTTCTCTTTAATGTGTACATTGTATATTGCAAGAAAATTGTATGGGTTTATTATATGGATTTCTGTGATGTTTTACTTGCTAGTTATAGCAAGACCTAGCTTGGAATTAAAATGCTCTATTATCCGGGAAGCGTTTGAAATGTTGGACCCAAGGAAGTAGATACAGTCCTTATGACAGTGAGCTTGCCCAACTGCTCTTCAGAGCCATGTCCTCTTGGCTAACTAAAGATACCAGGAAGATGTGGTGTGGATAGGTTCTACCGGGGAGAATTTTTCAAGGGGGTTCTTCTTTGTACACAACCATTTGTCTGAAATACAACCACTTGTCTGAAATGATATAGGGGTTTCCTGCTTCAGCAGGGGGTTGGACTAGAAGACCTCCAAGGTTCCTTCCAACTCTTGTTATCCTGTTATTCCTCTGCCCCTTAAGGAGCTACCTGCAAAATGCAGTGGCATGACACACATTACACCTGAGCTCCGCAAGCTGTGTACGCTGCCACATGGATCCAATTCGAGGTGCTGGTTTTGACTTGTTAAGCCCTTCATGGCCTGGGACAGGGCTGAGGGATCACCTCCACCTGATCACATTTGCTTGTCCCATCAGGTCTGGCAGAAAAGGTATACTGTGAGTTCTGCCTTGCAAAACAGTTTCATCTAGTGCACGGGTGTCAAACTCCCCACGTCACGTGACGTGTCGCGATGTATCGCGATTTTTTTTGCATTGTCGGAGTTGGGGTGAGCACGGCCTCTGTCTGATGCAACCAGCTCGTGGGCCGGCAGTTTGACAACCCTGATCTAGTGGGACCCAGGACTTTTCTGCCACAGCACCTTCCCTGTGGAGCATTATCCTCCTCCCCGCACGTGAGATTGGCCCCATCCTTGATATCTTACCGCAAGTCCTACAAAAAAATGACTGTGTCAGCAGGCTTGTGGATCTCAGCGAAATGGTCAGCTATTGAAATGGGTGCATTGTTTTTAACATCACCCTTTCTTTAATATCTTATTAATAATGTTGCTTTATGGCTTTTTAAATATATTTAATATTTTGCTTTTACAACTGATTTTTATTAGGCAGCACCTTTTAGAGTCACCTTTTAGAGTCACTTTTCTGTGAGATGGGCAGCTATGTAAACATGATAAAATAAAACAAATTTCTTTTCATAATCCTCCATGTGCAAGGCCATCAGCGGATAACTATTTTTAAATATCAGTTTCCTATGTTATGCTCAGCCCCAAAACAGACTAAACTAAAAGTGTATACTCGGAATGGCAGAATATACCCTAGAGCTATCAAAAGTCTTCTGGCATTTTACTCACATGCACTGAAATAAAAATGAGCTAATTTACAATTATAAAATTACTGCTAATTTGAATAAGTGCTAGTAATTAAATTTTAAACTTCCTGAAGTGTCAGAAGACCTGTTACAGAGGTTTATACAGCCATTTTAAAGTTATGTCTCCAAGGAATATTCTTAGTGGGAAATACATCCAATTTGACCATCCATAAAGAGTAAAAGGCCTGCACACAAAGCAAATTTTCTCCCCCCCTCCTTATGATCTTTTTAACAGGATGGATGGACACTCATGTTTTTGTCACTGTGTGATTCATATTATATGAAAATAGCATATTTTTGTACATAATTTAGGAAATAATCCTATATATACTTAATCTGTTAAACACAAAACAGTATAAAAATGGGCCCCTACATCAGAAGACGAAGAATCTTTAGAATAGATTTGGATTGTGCTTGAGGAAGTGAAAAGAGACAAGGAGAATTTAAAGTCCATTTACATATATAAATTTACTTGTGTGTCATTATGTAGAATCCATCATTCTTATTAATGAATCTACATTATAATGCCCTTTAAAACAGCTTACTCTCAACAGGTATTTGTTGAAGCCGCCCTGAGTCCGCAAGGAGAAGGGCGGGATATAAATTAAATTAATAATAATAATAATAAAAAGAGTGTTACCACACTTAAGAGAAACCAAGCAATACAACAAAACCCTATGAGATAACAACATCCATGATTTGGCGAGAACAGTTTTTAATGGAAGGAAGAAGATGGACAAAAATATAATGTCCAACAGAAGAGGCATGATTTGGATTTCATCTATAAAGAAATGGTATCTGATGGAACCTAGGAAGTGCTGTCCTTGGTTGCCACTATGCTCATTTATATAATTGTGTTTTTAATTGATTTTTATTTTATCTTATTAGCCACCCAGAGTTACTGTTTTTAAGATAGGTGGCCACTGACTGAAATAATGACAACAAAAACAGTAATAGCAATAATCACCAAACTATTCTTTTGATAAGGCATGTTAGCATCTAACAACCAAGGAGAAAGTCTGGCTAGGCTTTGAAGTGGGTTCCTAAAAACTTTTTAGAATAGCCCCCCCACCCCGACCTCCTCTATGTTGAACAGAAAACCCCCCTCCTCACCTTAGCTCTTTGGAAAAATAGACGAAAACATCCCCGGGGATCCACATTACAGCTCTTGGCCATTTCTATGATGAACTGCATCACTACCGCTTGATGAGCTACTTGTTCCATTAGAGCTCCTTTCTATAAAAAGATAATCCAAATTATCTGTAAGAAACAATCAGCGTACAAGTAGTCCTCAAACACAGGTCTACATTGGGAGAGGAACATTTGTGATTCAGTGAATGGTCATTCAGTAGGCCATGCCTGATTTTATGACCTTTTTTTTTACCACAGTTGTTAAACAAATCAATGTGGTCATTAAGTGAAGCCTTTGAGCTTCACCTATTGACTTTGCTTGTCAGAAGATCACAAATGGTGATTTTGTGAATCTGGGACAAAGCATCCATTGTAAACACATACTGGTCATCAAGCATCTAAATTCTGATTATGTGACCGCTGGGATGCTGAAATGGTTGTGTAAGGACCAATTGTAATTATTTTCAGCAGCTTTATAAGTTTAGTCACTAAGTAAAGGTGTCAGTTGAGGACTACCTGTACCACAATTCAAGATGCAATGAAGCCCATATTAATTGGAGCAAAACTAAGCTATGCACTAGAAAACTTCCTTTGATAGTCAAAACATATTAGTTAACTGCCAAGGAGGTGTGATGTGAAATACAGGATTCCTATAGCTTTTCATCTTCAATAATTCTTAGTTTTACAAATAGTACTTGAAAATGTCAATACAGTATTAGCTAACAGTATGTTTACCGAAAGACCTGCTATAACCACATAGACCCATATATAAATGTAATACTATAGGTAAGTCAGTATTTCCAAATGAGTTGCTGTACAGACGTAGCTCAATCAGTCTGATTCTGAAAACACATTAGATAATAGTTATTATGACTGCAGTCATTAGTTTGTAGTTCAGAATAAAAAATGGTTCAAGGCAGATGCTTAATAAAAGGGGTCATTCAAAGCCTTTGGATGATTGTTGTAATAATGGCCAATTATTAATGTAAACCAAATACTACCTTTCAAAATGTACAAATCTATGGTTAAATATCAATCTAGCAATGTTACATAGAGTAAATGATTTTGAGATTTAGGTTTAAAAACTAATTGCATTATCCATCCACAAATTAATTATTTATGTAGACATGTACAGTTATGATGCATTATATCTACTATTAAATAAATGATTTCAGAATTTGACTTTTGTATAACTACGGATTTTATGAGGATTCAGTCAGCAAATAAGAAATCATCTTAAACATGTGATAAGCCTCTGCAGAATATCTAAATCTCATTGCTAAAATGAAACAATACAACTTTGCACTATATTAGGAAGTTAAAATATTTAAGTCCAGAAGAAAATATGACCCTGAAATTAGTAAATTTCCCAATATGGACAACCTCAATGCAATTTAGGGTAAATAGAAAAAAAAACTTTGTACCAATTACAACATAGAAACACTGAAATTATACCTGTTCTGCTTCTAGATGAAAACACCATAAAAGAAGATATTTTGCTGTTTCTTCACAGACAAGGTATGGGTGATCAGAGAGAAATCTCTGACTATCAAACCATCTGCTCAACATTCCTGAAAAACAATGAGATACAACAAATAATTGTCCTAAAACTGAAAAAATACTTGGTTATAACTGAGTCCCATTTATGCTGGACAGGAACAAATTAGGCGTTTTGTTACTGCTACCCATCTCATATTATTACTTTGTTTAGTTCAGTTATTCAGAAACAATGCATGTCAAGGACCCTACTATGAATTTCAGGCAAAATATTTTGCTTGTTAAAACAGAAATACATTATTATAGTACATGTAGGTCATGAAATGATTCACAAGGAAAAAACTTACCAAAATGTCTAATTTTCTCCTCATGTTTCTGCATAAACGATTTAGATGCGTCATCCTCAGTTTCTTTCCGTTTCTTTTGATTAATGAAACTCTGGCAAACAAAATATATGATGTACTAAAATGTTACATCTGACAGTCATTAATTAATCATTGCTCAATTATCTCAAATAGTCTTCAAGGTTATTTTGTATTAGGTACTTCTATTTGATTTATACTAATTAAAATATACTTAGGCTCTCTAAAAGTAGGAGTTATTTAGATTATTTAGATTAGTGAAGCTACTCTAATTATGATTATGCAGCAGTCTGAATCTGAGCTGAATCTTTCATTCACTCGGGTTTTATATATTTTTTTCTACTAACCTCTGATTCCACATCATAATTTCCAATGTCTTAAACTATGGAATGTATTTAAATGTTTAGTGTAAATGCAACACTAGCTTATTTAGTGTGTACTGAAAACTAATAATTTCTTCATGGCCCTTTAAATAAACTTAATCTCTAAGACTGTGCCATTTTTTAATTGTTCTTAATACCCCATTTTCTCATTCCATCTAGACCAACTGTGCAATACTGCTGACAATAGTATCAAAGCAGGAAGTGAAGAAAAGTGGAATTTTGGTTTCAAAGAATTCATATCAAATTCAAATCAATTCATTTGATTTGGAATCAAACTTTTTCCATAATGCCTCTATAGAATGTATTCTTCTCACTTTTTTTTCTGCAGAGTTGGAAAAAAGATCCAGTATAACTTGTGGCTACTAGGAAGGCATTCTGGTTGATTGCAATAAAGCAATATTAAAGAATCCTACTGTGGAAACAAGCCTAAATTTAAATACTTTCGCTTGCTAATGCCAACAGAAATAAAACATATTACCCACTGTAATTTATACATTCCTCTTATGTATCTTTTTCTTTTGCTTCAGACCTCAATTAGAATAGTAGTGCTCTAAAAAATTACTTATAGGATTCAGAAGAAATGAACTTTAATGGCCCAATTCTATGAAGAGTTTAGGTATACACGAAGTTGTTACTTCAGAAATTCAAGACACAAAAAAAAAGCCTGAATGCAGAAATTTTTATACAATCTGGATTATTCTATACCTTGTTAAATACCTCTTTGCTAACAAAATCCGTATTCCATAAATTCTGTCTCTCTTTCTGTCTTAATACTTCCTCCTTCCGCCGCCATTCTTCTTCTCTCCATCTCAATTCATCAATTTCTGTTTGTGCTTTGGCATGTTCTTGGTCCAGAGATTCTGAATTGTGTAATGCTAAACTTCCAAGTTTTTGCTGGGCTTCTGCTAAATTCCATTTGCATTCCACAGAACTCTTTACAAATTCTTTTTGCTGTTGGCAAGCCAGTTCGATTCCATCATTATATGTCTGCAAATTAATGTCTCCATTATTATTTGGAAATTAGACAGGCAGAATTACATGAAACTTGGGTTTAAATGAACTAATTCTTAAGATTTCTTAAGAAATTGCATGTGAAACAGTTACAGATATGAATGGGTGAGATTCAGTAAAATATAGACATACTTCAATCGATCCTATCTCTGGCCATTCTGTACGCGTGTGTTTATGTGTGTGTGAGAATATACACACACTCACAATGATCAGATTATTATTACAACTTCAGTACTGAATCTGAATGTCTCACTATATGTACTTAATTGCTATGCACATATAGTAATAATGGTATCATGTTACATCTTCTTTATTTTATCACATAATTAAGAATCACTCAAGAGCCTTGTACTAGTCAATATAATAAATATTCTTAAACTTGTAGAATAATAGTCAGCGAAGGATGAAATTTACTTGGTCTCTTTAAATCATTTTGGCAAATTGAACTCATTCAACACAGGGTTATCTTTGTTCACAGAATGGAATTACAACAATGTTCTTAAATATATATATATATATAAAATCAAGGACTTCATATTCTATCTCTTTTTAATACATATACTTGCACTAAGTACAAGACAGATAAAGACATAAAAATTAGTTCCTAGCCCTTAAGTGAGATAAGCTTAAATTGCCAATTCCAGAGAGACGGGCTAACACTTAAATGCAGCAGTAGGAAAGACCCTTGAATCACAATTATGGACTTCTCTACTTACAACTAAGTTCAGTAGGACTACCTTCTAACTGTGAAAATTAGATTATAGCTTCTAGAAGCAAATTTTCACTTATTTGAGCACAGATCCAGCACAAATACATACAAGTAGTCCTCAACTTACAACAGTTGATTTGTTAACTATTCAAAGTTACAACGGCATTGAAAAAAGTGACTTATGCCCATTTTCCATACTTACAACCGTTGCAGCATCCCCATGATCACATGATCAAAAGTCAAATGCTCGGCAACTAGTTCATACTTATGATGGTTGCAGTGTCCTGGGGTCAGCTTTTGCGACCTTCTGACAAGCAAAGCCAATGGGGAAGCCAGATTCACTTAATAACCATGTTACTAACTTAACAACTACAGTGATACACTTAACCAGTGTGGCAAGAATGATCATAAAATGGGGCAAACT